AGTATAGTATAGTATAGTATAGTATAGTATAGTATAGTATAGTATAGTATAGTATAATATAGTATAGTATGACAATGTTATATTTGCCAATAGCTGAGCCACACTTACTCCTCTTACTTAGTTGATATCTTTGTTCCCCATAACCATCCTTATTGGTATTCTTAGCCATGGGCGAGGGATGAGTTTTTCTCTCCCCCTATTTTGAACGCAGCTAGTAATCCTCAAAAACCAAGAGCTAAAGACTATAGCCGAGCAAGACTGGTGGACCGAATAGCGAAGTGAATGAAAAAGATAAACACAATTCCTGGCCTTTATGTATGATAATGACACAATACTCATTCCAACTATAGAAGAGGCCAGTTGATGGCTTGGAGTAACCTTCATGCTTAGCTTTATTAATATTTTGGTTAATGTTCGCTTTAATCCAATTTCAGGAGCTCATGATCCACAAGTGCAAATTCACTAATTTAGTCTATTCTACTCTGCAAACATATTAATAGGAAGGGCATGGCCAGTCGCCTTTAAATTGACGACTTTGAATAACGAGTATGAATAGCAAGTAACTTATGTTTAATAATGCACATACTTTTTAACCAAGTTTCTTATCCTCCATTTGGGCCCTTAGAACCTCTGTAATGCAAGTCCCTGCTCAAACTGGAAAGCCCTGGCAGAATCAGACTGTCAGGATCGTCAAACTGGAAGCGAAGATTAGATTCCTTAACGACGAAATGAAACGATTGATACAACTTAAAAAACAAGACACGACAGATATTGAGAAACAACAAAGGTAGACACCATATTAAAATTCTTGAATCAGAAATGTTTTCACCTTCAATTTCTTTCCTTCGGTGTGAATAAAATTAATTTTATCGAATAATTATCGGCGGAAATTCTATATCCTAAGAGCAAATAGCAACAACCAGTCAACTGTTAACGTAGATATTGATAGTAAGCTTGACAAGGATTAGTTTCTATCTCCAGGATCTTAGACGGCTCTATGAATCTCAAAAGTAGGTTCATTTCCAGAACAGATTGCAGCACCGTTATTGCCCGAATTTACCAATTACAAACAAAGGAGCTGGATCAACCTAGGATCAAATATAGCAGTAAAATATCAGGGCTAGACACGTCAACCCAATATCTACACGTTTCTAATTCTAGTGAATAAAGTACCACCTTCTATCAATGTCTTAGATGACACTAATGCTCAGTTACCTTAAGATATATCATCATAGCCTCGCATTTTTATTATGATATGATGCAACACTTCCAGTCCATTATAATTCTAAAATATAATACTATTTGCGGACTGGATACTCTAATATATAATATAGAAAGCTTTATAACAAAACTTCCACTTTTGTCAGACAAATTATAATACAGTATAAATATAGTAGTCGAATGCAAGGCGATTCTATACAAAGTAGTAAAATATCGATCTAAATTGCACCAATAATAAGTGAAAATATAGAATATAAATATGATGAATGTCGTAATAGCCAAGTGCAAACAATGCAAATTAGTAAGTAAAAATGCTTATAGGCGCCTGACAAAAAGATGGATTTGAATAAATATATCTCAAACGTTAGCATACAAATGCAGTGCACCACATAGAAAAAGCATGCATTTGAGGAAAATAAAATAATTTATGATTAAATTCATTTAATTAACCTATGCTTGATGTACCATAGAACAAAGCGTCCAAAGAACACGGAATACATGAAGGCAGACAAATTTGAAAGATGCCCCTCATTATCATGCATTTATGTGAGGAAATGAATAAAATTGGATCCAATTAATAAATAAAATACAAGCGATAATGAAATTCTCAATACTAATGAAAGTTGGTAAAGCAAACAAACAGAATATTTGAAATCACTTAAACACACTTAAATTTGATTCACAATCTGGTGGCCCTTTTCTTTAATCTGATTTGTGGTACCTATGTTATTCGTAGAAGAGTGATGTATGAGGGAAGAAAGACAAACCTAATCACACATTATACACCTTATGAAAAGAACAGAGCCAGAGTATGTGTAGTCTGATGGCGGCCAGGATCGTTGCGGTGCTCCTCCTGTTTGTTTCCTGATGACTTATCTCCATAATGTGTTTTTTCGCTTGCAATTTTGACTCCCATCATTTTCTCTTATAGCTTCCAGTCTGGGAGGTGGTCTCAAGCATTCATCTTGATACATCCTGTGCAGCTGGTACCAGATTACCATGACAATTGGAACTGTTGCAATTGTCGAAAGTAAAAGCATGAGTTTAACTGAGGCTATTTAGAAATATCGAGGTGTTATCTAGTTCAGGTAACGTAAAGGTTGGGCCAGGTTGACGAGAAGTTCTGCATATTTTTCGTACCGTAACCTGTCTCTTTCGAAACAATATTTATTTGCTGTATATTTGGTAGAACCCCGTCTGTAAACTGAGTTTTAACTTAATCTATTTCCTCCTTCATAGACAAGCTGTAGCCAAAATTATGATACTCGAGGACTGGATACGCGATTATCTTTATCTGATGAATATGGTGCTTGCCACATACTCATGTGAAGAAAACTGTGCTGTCAAGCTGAGCCTGATCTCGAGCATGCAGGTAAAGAATATTGTGTCGAGAATGTGTTATAAAAGTCCGAGAGTATTTGAGACGGGTCGAATGATCCCCAGCTGAATCTATTTGTCTCTGGGTCTGGAAATGGCTCCAAAGTCCTGATTCTGGCTCACCATAGAACCAAATCTGAGTGAGAATAGTCATCAGGCGGCTTCGAAACGTTTAGCTGCCGACTTGATTCTAGCAAAGTCGTTTTCCGAGGGAACGCATAGGTTTGAAGCACGAGGTTGCAAACAAATGCTAGTTTATGATTCGCTAGTGCAAAAACAGAGAGTCGAGTGAATTGGGTCAATCTGAATCCGGTGACGTCGGTAAAATGCATTCTTAAGCGTTTTCCAACATAATCACATAAAATGCTAATGAAAATTTTACCATAAAATTATTAATGGGTGGCATCGCCATCAGATTATGCGAACTATCTACTAATAACTATAAAGTCAGTAGTGGAATTTTAGTGTTTTTATAAGATCATAAATTGTTGCTTAACTGGAGCAGTTTATCATAAGACATCATTATAACTTTATATAACCGTATCGTCAGGATATGAGTTATAAGATGCCCATTCATATTCGAACACAGCCTATCCCATAAACGAGACATTAGGTTATGGGCAATGTGATTGATTCACTTAGTACTATTAAGTTATAGTAAAGGTTTAACCAGCTCACTTTCTGATCGAATGCTTTGGCCAAGTTTGCTAAAGAAGTGTCACATCCGTAGGAGACGCAAAGCTCAGGGTTGATGGATGTTGATTGCACGAAGTTCACAATGAGCTTGGTGAACTTTAGAGAAGACCCGATTGAGCTAATACTCATTATTTGCCTTTCGGGCAATCTGGTCTGCAAGCCCTCTATTCAAGTGTTTTTATGGACCATTACGATCTACTTAAATACGATGAGTAGCTGGGTTTTGATGAGCCTCTTGAAATAACAGCGTTGCGGATACTTAATTCATATGAGTGTGAAATATGAAGAGACTCGTAAGTAGATGTCAGCGGAAGAGTTAACACCAAGTCAAGAAGACTATTCAGCTCTAGCCTGCATACTATATTAACATATAGAAAGATAGTAATATAATTATTTGGCTAAATCTCTTTCAAATCAATCAGGTTATTTACACTTCGGTGTGTCTGTGTACTAACATATGTACGCAAGTGCTTCTCTGCACACATTTGACCTGTAAATAATTTAATCTTTTCTTTCACTTACAGCACAGACTGAGGTTAAAGGGCTTGCTCGAGGAGGCCCGTCGAACTGAACCAAATCTACCTCCATGGCCAAAGTAAGTTGAGCTGTAGGCGATTGGAACTAAGTCATTCTTTATTAGCGTTAAGCATACAAAAGTTCGTTTAGGCGCTTTTGAAGTGATACCGTAAGCTTTCGTTTATAAGCGGATTTTCGAGATATACTGTAACTTTCTCTGTAGCATCCGACTCCAACGTGCGTTGTCACTCGGAGGGTACGGAATTTTTAACTAGTCAAGGCTTCGTCAACGCCCTAATGGGACTCGAATGCACGACTTGTGTGCTTGTCTATTAATGTGTGTGGAACACTATTACTCTTTCCATTAAAGCCAAATTGATGTCAAGTTTAACCTTAAGACTGGCTTGATGAGTGATTTATCTCAGGAGTACAACCTTCCTGAACCCATCATGAAGGGGGAACCACCAAAAGGGTAGTCTTCCGAGGTACCGACCAAAGAGATTGACGAAAGAGGGCGGCAGCAACTACAGAAGAAGACTGTAGACGGAGCCTCCTGAGCTAGTGGCGTCGAGAGTCGTGGTATTTCGCGTCGACGACACACACAAGAACAAAGAGTCCCAACTGACATTCGTTACTCCGAAAGATGTGGCCTGTCTTGGCCTTAGTCTTATCCGGGATTTGTTCGTCACCCTCACGCTAACACCTTCAACTGGACGGGAGACAACAGAACTCACAGGTCAACATCTCTCAAGGAAGCGTCCTGCTTCGTAGAATTAAGCTTATCTTTTGTTGGCGTCGGCCACAAGGATAACATAATCTAAGAGACAGATAGGGCATAGATACTATTCTTTTCATGGGGATTATTTGCTCCCGTCAATTGGATCGTTTAGAGACAAAGCAAGGACTTATAGGAACTGTACTCGAGAAGCATACTTTAAGTTGCCGAGATTTGTGCTCGGTCGGGGCTACCGATATGGCGGGCGACTTGGGCGAATAGAGCTGCGACATTTTCCCACGTCAAGACGGGTCTAACAATCGTCTCTAAACCACATCGGGGCTCGCAGTACCGCTGAATCCAGACTTGGAGCCTCAGATTGCGCAAAGTCGGAAGATCTGCACTCAGTAGTTCTACATAGATTTATCCATCTCATTGGTATCAGTCTATCTATACACTCATCATTTCTGTCGTGCATTTGCCCATAACAACCACATAAAGCAATATGCTTACTCTCCTTTCCCATTTAGAATCGGCACCAACCAATTCAATATTGACGAATACGGATTCAAGCACTTTTTCCACACCGAAGAGGACGTCTACCTCTACGTGGTTCGACAATTGCACAATCACTACATCCGATTTCAGTCCCAGGCCATTAGGCATAAGGCTCGCTGGGACGCCTTCAAGATGCTCAACAAACAGGTCCACTTTCGGGTAAGCCCACAGAAAGGTATCGTCGTTGAGGCATTTTGCTGTCCGTCTTGCCTCAAAATCTCATCATCATCATCAGTATTCCTATTTTGTCGGAATTCCCTTTTGCTGAAGTACCAAAGTGGACCGAACATTGAGGATGATCAGGCGGACACAACTCTGAGCTCTCTACAGGTTGGGGATTGAAAATGGCAAGGTTGCCAAGAGTGGAGCCTACTTCAGCCTTTATATCTCGGGAGCGACCAATGCCATTCCGTAGCGAGACGAAGTTGTCTTCGTCATCAGATGCAAAGCTGTTGGTGTGCGATGGTGGTTGGTAGACTTGTCCTTTTAAACAGAACACTTGAGCCCTCTTACGGCAGAGGTGAGCACAATTGGTGTTGATGAGAAGAGCCTTGACGGTGGATCGAGAGGTAGGATTTTGGTGCCTCTTGTTGGGACTACTTGTCTGCCTAGATTGATGGTGTTTCCTTTCCAAATCATCGTTTCCTCCCAACTTGGCCACTGTTTTTACCTCTTCCACTATGCACGATGGGCAAGAGGTAAAGCTTGACGTCTTGCCTGGCAATGCTTCAATTGCTTGAGGGGGCTAGTTTTGGAACATAACTTCATAAACGTCTTTTTTTACGTTGCTATGCATAAGTAAGGTGCATGACAAAAATTTGGAATAAAGAAGTTCGTGTACAGCAAAATGGTGCAGAATGGAGAATGGGGGAATTGAGGAGATGTCCCGATTAGACGCAATATTGTACCATATGTAGGGTGGCTTCGGTGAGCAGACCTTAATGCGTAATTAATTGTATGATGCATACGCCAGCTTTTGATTGTCCCCCAGAGCATGGCGTAGATTTATGTGATTGGTGGGCCTGGTAAAACCAATGAGAAGCCTGTGTTTGATCGGTCGGTTGAGA